ACAAGAAGCCACTGAAAGCTTTCAAGCCGGCTTGGGGTGATACGACTGAACCTGAGCTGTGCAAACCTCCCCAGGAGAAGCCACATTCAGAGAACAGCAGGGAGGGCCAGGTGGACGCAGGGAGCCAGCTAGTTCCTCCTGGAGGCCAGGCAAGAGAACCCAGCCAGAGGCTCGCCGGGCCTGGAAGTAAACATTTGGGGCTCGCCAGCGTAAGGACGGCCGTGGAAGCCACGGGCCTGGATGCAGTTGAAGTGGAGAGTCTGGAAGGATAAGAGGGACTCAGACCATCTCAAACTCCAGCTTCTGTAGCCCGGTGGGAGTAAAAGGAGGGGGCCAAGGAGAGGACCAGAGAACTAGGAGAACACCTGGGGGAGGGCGGAGAGACAGAAAAGATCAGCGAATGTCCAGCGGGTGAAGGGAAGCCGAGTCAGGTGAGAGGAAGATGGAAAGGTGTCCTTGGCGTGACTAACAGGAAGGTCATCGGCGACCTTTCTGAGGAGCATAGAGATGGGAGACCTTCAGCTGGGTGGGTTCCTGCCTGGCATGGCCATTTGCATGGAACAAAGAGCCAACTGGGCTAATGTCCATGTCACGAGAATAATATTACATTGTCCAGTGTGATCTGGATCGAAGAGGATCTGCTCATTAGTTCAGAAAATCTCCCCCAAGCCCACGAAATGCACAGTCTTGTTCTTTTCCAGGGCCCATGTAGCCCTGGCGACTTTACGTATTTGTTTGCTCGTACAACATGTACCACTGGCCAATTCATCTTCCAGCGCCTGGGCCATAAGCAATGTGCCATCCTCTGTGTTGCCTTGCTGGAGGCATCTGACGAGCGGACATATGTGGATTTTGCATATATAGTGCGGACGATGCATTTGGTAAATCGCTTCAGACGTGTCCCCGGGGAAGGTGCCGCAGGCTCTGTGGCCCCTACAGATGGAAGCTGGCAAGGAAGAGACGGGTCCAGATTGCGATCCCTGGGCTATAAGCAAGAACAGATTGGAGGGGGCCAGAGTGGACGTGGGGAGGCCGAGAGGCGGGTCTGTGGTTCTGCGATGCTGCACAGCCCCTCACCCCGGGGAAGGACCAAGGCCAGGAGGAAGCACTAACTTGGAGCGCACTTCTGACCCTCCCACCGGCTGGGCTGGCCTCCAGGTGCATGTTTTTGTTCGTCACTGGAGAACACTCCCTGACATAGTTTTCAGCCGCCCACTTTCTCAGTCACTCCATTGGGTTCCTTCCACCCTCGCCTGTAAACATCTTCCTCTTGGCCAATATTCATATAACTACTATAATTACTACCTGCTCCAAAAATGGGGCCGTGCGTTTTGCCTCCATTACCTCATCGAGAGCCCCTTGCAATAAGCCGCAGCCACACCCCGGTTGTGCAGACACAGAAACCGAGGTGCAGAGGGATGCTGGAGCCTGTCCCAGGTCACACAGCTGGCAGGTGGCTCAGCCCAGGTGTGAGCCCAGGTCTCTCGGACACCAACGGTCACATGACCTCCCGAGAGCACTCGGTGAAGGTCCGTAGAGTGGGACTGCTTTCCTTTGGGGAGTTTGGCATGACCCCCTTTTTTGTTTCTGAGTATTTGTGCCCATTCACCCCTTTATTAGTTCAACAAACCTCCCTGAGGCCAGACTATATGCAGGTGGTGGGGCGCCCGTGGTGGCTCAGACAAGGTCTGTGACCGGGAGGGGCTCAGTCTGCTTGAGGAGGAGACCGCTGCACCACTGGCTGCAACAATCCACAATGTCATAGGCACGGACAGAGGGGTGGGCAGGAGCTGTGGGACCTGCTGCCTGGGAAGGCCCACGAAGAGCTCCCAGCGGCTTCACCTGGGTTGCAATGGCTCAGCTGGATTGTAATAGGAGAAACAGGCCCTGGCCCGGCAGACAGGGAGGACAGGACGTCCAGGAGTAAAGGCTTTGTGCAAAGGCATGACAGAGGTGGGGGTGGGGAGGGGGCTTGGGAGACCTGGCTGCATGGCGGTGCTTGGGTTCGGGAGTCTCAGCTGGCTGGGACTAGGGTGTGAAGGGCCCCAGTGGAGACTGGGGAGCAGGCTAGTCATGTTCTTATGATTTATTGAGAGCTTCACAGACGCAATGACCGCGTTATTAAAATAAGAAATCTGAAGTTCAGAGCATGACTGGATTTTATGTAGACTCTTACCATGCTTGCGCTGTCCTTTAAACAAAAGTTATGAAGAGTTAAAAAACAACACCACACACACACACACACCTGTGTAACTACAGTCCAGGTTAAAAAAATCAAACCTTACCAATGTGACTGAAGCCCCTCCCACCATCCATCAGGTCTCCCCCTCCCCCAAGAGAGAAACTCTTCCCTGAATGGTGTATTTATCATTCCTCTGAATTTCTTTATACTTTTTCCACGTATGTACATTCCTAGCAATATATGGTATCATTTTGTTCTGCACGTTTAAAAAAACCTATATAAATGATATCATACAATTTGATCTTCTGCAACTTGTTCCCCACCCCCCTACTTACTATACTTCAGAAGGAGCGCCAGTCATTCCTTTTCACTGCAGTGTAGGACTTCACTGACAGCCCCACAGTGTATTCTCCCTCCGATGAGCCTCGAGGCTGTTCCGATGCTTCATTAGAACAGACACTGCTGCCACCAGCGGGAGGTTCCCAAGTCTGGGCCATGGGGTGCGTGCATCGCCAACATGTCTAAATGCGGCCGAATTGTTCTTCAGTTACCCTTGTCCCCTCCCACCAGCAGTGCATGGAGTGCTTTTTGCTGTTTCCACCCTTTTGCTGGTCACACGTGGGAAATGGCACTTTACTGGGCTGTGTTTTGCGTTTTCCTTATTCTGAGTGAGACCAACTATCTTTTCATATGTTTATCGGCCATTCATGTTTCCCTTCTTCAAACTGCCTGTTCATATATTTTGCCCAATTTCCTCTCCCTTCTTTTGAAATTGATTTGTAGAAGATCTTTGCATATTTTGGATATTGTGTTCCAAATATCTTCTGTTGATAAAAAGGGGTTTTACACTTCAATTAAATATATCAATCTTTTTCTTTTTAAAAAAATATATTTTTATTGATTTCAGAGAGGAAGGGAGAGGGAGAAAGAGATAGGAACATCAATGAAGAGAGAGAATCATTGATTGGCTGCCTTGTGCCCTTGACCAGAATCGAATCCAGGATCAGTCCACAGGCCGGTGCTCTATCCATTGAGCCAAACCGGCTAGGGCTTGAGAGATTTCTTAATGGTTTGTCTTAAAGACATAAGAGACTTTAAGAAATCTCTCAAGCCCTAGCCAGTTTGGGTCAGTGGACAGAGCGTCAGCCTGCAGACCGAAGGGTCCCCAGTCCGGTCCCAGTTCCAGTCAAGGGTGTGTGCCTGGTTTGCAGGCTTGATCCCCAGTGGGGGGCGTGCAGGAGGCAACCAATCGATGGTTCTCTCTCATCATTGATGTTTCTATCTCTCCCCTCTCTCCCTTCCTCTTTGAAACCAATAAAAATATATTTTAAAAAAGAAATCTTTCAATATTACAAGGTTTCTGCATTCAAGTCTTTAATCCACTTGGAAGTGATTTTGTTTGTTAATCTTCACTTGAGAATATTTTTTCCATTGAAAAAATATTGAGTTTTAGAGAGGGTGGAAGGGAGGGCAAAAGGGAGGGAGGGAGAGAGGGAGAGAGAGAGAGAGAGAAACATCAATATGAGAAAGACATCAATTGGTTGCTTTCTGCAGATGTCCAACCGGGGCTGGGGATGGAGCCTGCAACCCAGGTACATGCCCTTGACTGATTGATAACCGAGAATCAAACCCAAGAACCTTCAGAGTGAAGGTCGGTGCTCTGACCACTGACCCACACCAGCCAGGGCTGGAACTGATTTTTTTACGGGTGGCATGAGGTAGGGATTCCATCTCATTCCCCCTCCCCCCCCAATATGGGCAACCAATTGTTCCATAAAAGTACCTTTCATAGATGTTTCTATTCCCCCCCCCCCCCTGCAGTACCACCTCTGCATCAGGTTTCCATACATGTGTGGGTCTATTTCTGCAGCCTCTATCATTGGCCTTAGCCATCTCTCCTTGTGCTCATATCAGATGGTCTCCGTGTACCTTTTTAGTCCCCGAGAACCTCCTCCCTTAGATTAGCAGGGCTAGTGGCTTCCGGAGAGCACATACATGTCTTATTCATCTTTGCATCCCTCTCAGCACCATGACATGAACATTCACCTCATGCTTTTGTTTGCAAAGTCCCCTCACACTCTGTCTCCTGGGCTCCTAAGACTCTCTTATGCAGAAGAGGAAATTAAGGCACAGAAGTGAGATGGCTTGCCAGGGTCACACAGCAGGAAAGTGTTGGATTCAGGGTTCTGTGGGATCTTAAAGGCACCCTATACCCCTATACACTCACCCCATATGCCCAGGCTCTACTTGACGCTCCTGCTCTTCTGGTCCCAGATGGTCACTCCTTCCTCCCTTCTTTCAACAAGTAGCTCCTGAGTGATGTATGTGTGCCAGCTTCTGTCGGTGCTGGAACTCAAACCCTGTGTGTGTGTGTGTGTGTGTGTGTGTGTGTGTGTGTGTGTGGTGGTTGGGGGGAGGGGCTCTCTCCATTGCCAGAGACCAGTACGGAGCGTGGGAACTCGTCTGAGGCCTGGGGTCAGCAGGAGGAAGTCCGGCAGAGGTTCAGAGTCCATTGAAAGAGCTCCATCCTGGGTGTGCACTTGGGGCCCAGGCGCTGCCTTCGGAGAGGACGCTGGCTTCCCCCAGGAATTAGGCGTCCTCCCGCCCTCCCGCCTCGAGAGGCAGGAATGCGAAGGATCAGCTTTCAGCGGAGCTGCGGCTGCCGTTCGGGGAGCTCCAGGTGCAGGCCCTTCCCCAGCGGCCGAATTAACTGGTTCTGTCTGTCCAACTGGGAGAGCAGCTCTCGCTAAAAATAGTGCCCTGCCCCGCGCGCCTGGTGCCCGCCGGGAGCTGGGGCAGCGATCTGCGGAGTCCGAGCCGCCGACGGCCCGCGCAGCCCGGGGAGCCCCGCACGCCCCCACTCCGGGCCTGGCCCCGGTCCCGTCCCCGAAGCCGAGTCCGCGGGCACAGCGCTTCCCCCACAGGTGCCGCGCAGGGTGGAAGGTCCGCGGGCCCGGGCGCGGCCGGGGCGGTGCGGGATGGGAGCCGGCGGCACGGCCTCCCGCGCGCTCGCCTGGGCCTCCCTGCCCCTGCTGGGGCCTCCCGCCGGCGCGCTCTGCGAGGACACGCTCTGCTGCCGAGGTAAGGCCGCCGGCCGCGGGCGTGCCCCTTGCTCTTCCCAGGCACTTGCTGGGGCCTTTTTCTCCTTCGCCACGCCAGGTCCGCAGCAGGTGGGGGGGTAGAGGCGGGGGACAGGTCGGAGCGGGTCGGGGGGGAGGGGGACCCCAGGCATCCGCAGAGGGCTGGAGAGAAGAGCCTAGCGCTCTCTGCAAACTCGCCTTTTGTTTGAAAAAGTTGCGGTGTTGCCACCAGCGTCGGAGAAGTGTTTACCTCCCGTTGGCCTCCGCCTTCCTATCTGGAAAATGGGACAATGAAAGCATCAAACTTTAATATTTGTTGTGACCCCCCCCAAAAAGTTGGGGTCCCCGCTGAAGCGGACCGCAAGCATTCTGGACAAGTTTTCCAGAACCAGATGGGGTCCTCGAAAGAGTAGGAGAGTTAGAATTGCCTTTTCGGTGACCCCCCTCCCCTCCCCCACCCCCGCGCCGTTCCTTCCCTCCCAAAGCTCTGGACTTGGCATCAGATCGTGGACCCTGTGGTCGGTCGAAGATCAAGGCAGGGCGCACAGCAAAGTTTCAGAGTTTCAGGGGTCAGCTGACACGCGAAGACCCTTGGGGTGTGTGGGGGGGAGGGTGTAGAGTGGTAGAGGGGTGAGCAAAGCAGAGTCCTACTCCTCAGTCGCGTACACCCCAGTAGCCCACAGCCTAAAGCCGGAGTTTTGTTTGTTTTTTTTTTTTTTAAATATATTTTATTGAGTTTTTACAGAGAGGAAAGGAGAGAGATAGAGAGTTAGAAACATCGACGAGAGAGAAACATCGACCAGCTGCCTCCTGCACACTCCCCACTGGGGATGTGCCCGTAACCCAGGTACATGCCCTTGACCGGAATCGAACCTGGGACCCTTCAGTCCGCAGGCCGACGCTCCATCCACTGAGCCAAACCGGTTTCAGCCGGAGTTTTTTTTTTTATCTCTGAAATCCTGGGGTCCGCACGGAGGGCCTTGGTGGACCCCGCGGGCCCGGGTGCGGAGGGCAGTGTGGCCTGGCCTCGATCGGGGGTGGGAGGGAGGGGGCGTGTGGCCCGGCCCAGACCCTGAGCCAAAGCGGGGACAGGGGGCGTGAGCCAGGAATGAGGGGTCCGCCCTGCCTAGTCCGGCCTGGCGGGGTGGCAGTGGGGGGGTCGATGGGTCTAACAGGTGCGCCCCCGCCCCTCCCCTCCCGGCCTCGGCTCGGTGCCGGTCTGGCGGGAGGAGCTGCGGTGGCTGGGCCCGCGATTGGCCGGGCGGGGCGGGCCGGGTGGCCGGGGGAGCCGGGGAGCCGGGGAGCCGGGGAGCCGGGGAGCCGGGGAGCCGGGGAGCCGGGGAGCCGGGGAGCCGGAGCACCGCGGCGCAGGCGGAGGCGCGGAGCCGGCTGGGCGCGCTCCTGCGGGCCGCCGCCTGCCTGGCCAGCTCGCAGCGCTCGGCCTGGCTGGCGCTACGGAAACTTTCCTGCCGCCTGGCGATCCCGCGACCCCGCCGCCTCGTGACCCTGACCCGGGGCGGCTCTGGCGCCTTTGGGATGGCAGCGCCCAGCGGCCCCACAGGCGTCTAGAGGTAAGAGCTAGAGTCTCTGAATCAAGATGAGGGGGCCCCAAGGGCATGCAGGAGTACCCCAGAGGGATCTGGGGCTCGAGAGGGTCTGGAGGCCCTGATAGGAGATACGGGGATGTCGGACAGAGGAGTGGGCTGAGACTTTGCTTTACTCACCCCTCTTCCACCTTACAGCCTGCTGTGCTGTAAGGCTCTCTAGCCAGTGGGTTGACTCTAAACTTTCCTGTGCGCCCTGCCACTATCTCTGAGTCCTTGGGAGAGAACAGCTCTTGTTGTTATAAGGAACCCCCCGCCCCCCGCATCAGCTGGGGCCCATAGCTGGCCAGGAGGTTGGGGGGTTCTATACTTTCCAACCTCATCGTTTCCAGTGGTCTCCCAAAACTTCAGACCCTCCTTAACCTCACTCTGAGGCAGTGGTTCTCAACCTTCCTAATGCCGCGACCCGTTAATACAGTTCCTCATGTTGTGGTGACCCCCAACCATAAAATTATTTTCGTTGCTACTTCATAAGTGTGATTTTGCTAGTTATGAATCATAATGTAAATATCTGATAGGCAGGATGTATTTTCATTGTTCTTGACCCACAGGTTGAGAATCGCCGCCTGAGGGTCGATCATTGGATAGCCACCCGTGGCTGTGCAGAGCCAGGCACCCCAGGGCACCCAAGTTTGGGGTGTTGTTTTGTTCAACCCTAGCCACTCCTAAATTTTCAGGGGGTGGGGTCATTGAAATGGGGTTTCTTTGTTTCCTGGGTGATTGTACCCTGTCCTCCATTAAAACACCTTAAGCTAAGCAGAGTGGGAACAGGAATCAAAACCAGCCAAGTCCCAATTCCCAGCCTGGGGGCAATTGCTGGCTGACTGGTTTCCGATGGTCCATTCTTTTCAGCTGTCTGGCTCGAGTCATAGGGAAACTGCACCCCTCTCCCCAGGTCCCCTTCTGCTGCTTACGGGGAAACTAATTTTGACTTGAATTTAATTTTGATTGAGGCTGGATGAGTAGATGGGTTGTCACTTATGAGGAGTATCGCTTTGGCATGATTTCCCTTCAGTATCAAAGCCAAACTTCTATTTTTTCTTGATCTAAGACCATATACCTGAGGGTTAAAAACCAAATCAAACACCAGCTTTGGAGCCCAGAAAACCTGGGTTCAAACTTCAGCCCCACCCTCACTACTGTGTGTCCTTAGGCAGGTTTCCTAACTTCTCTGAGCTCAAGGATCCCACGCCAGGGGGATCTAGTAAGGCCTTTGAGAGGTAAGGCACGGAAGGCTGCCAGTCTGTAACCTGGAACTTGGGCCCTCTTTCCCCTCCTCTCAAAAGTTGGTGTGGACCAGCCCCTCTTAATAAACTCTTTTGAGAAAAGTGCACAGATGCACATGCCTTCTGAGGCATATGATTCCAGTGGGTTTGTAGGTCTCAGATTTAAGACAGCCCCCTCCATCCTCCTCCTTGTCATGAACTATTCAGAAGGTATAGGCTTTCTGTCTGTCACTGATCGCTCTCCTCATCCCTGTTGGACACGTGGAAGTAAAGGTTGTAAATATCAGGGAAATGTGAATGCACCAATTAACCAGCATGACAGAGCGGGGCTGACCTGCAGAACCTGGTCCAAAGTCACCTTCGAGATCATCCCCTCGCCGTTCTTCCTTCTCTGGTGTTGTGTCTCTACCTGGTGAACATCTAGTCCTTTTTGCTGGAATCCTCTAGCGACAGTCAGCCCACTAGGCAGCTGGCTTCATGATTGGGCAACTCCAGTCTGTTAAAAAAAAACAACACAAAAAAACCCCTTCCTGTTTGGAGTGGAAATCTGTGTCCCTGTTAGTTCTACCCACTGGTTTTAGTACAGCCCCGCAGGCACCTCTTACTGGCTCAATTATTCACTGCAGTCCCCGCGCCTGGCATTCTCTTCCTTCCTTTAGGCATGTAACACACTGAACTGAATTTGGCAATGATCACAGCACCATTTATTGAGTGTTTATTATATGCTAGGTCCTGTGCTAAGGGCTTTATACACATTTCCTTGTATCTTAAGGACAACCCCATGAGGTTGAGTCTTTTCTTATCCTCATTTTGCATATGAAGAAACAGGTTTAGAGAGGTTAAGAGATTTACTCAAAGTCAAATAACCCGGAAGGAACTGGAGTACATCCCAAACCCAGCATCTGCTCTTAGAGCCCAGGCTTGTAACGGTTACTTTTGTCCTGTGCCATCACGTGTGCCCACGGGGGTGGGGTGGGCGGTTGCCTGGGTCTGTGGGATATGCTGGCGGTGCTTTTTATCGCAATCCCTTGGGCACTTGTTGAAATGCAGATTCCTCACCTCTACTCTAGACCAGCTGTGGGCAAACTATGGCCCGCGGGCCGGATCCGGCCCGTTTGAAATGAATAAAACTAAAAAAAAAAAAAAAAAAAAAGACCGTACCCTTTTATGTAATGATGTTTACTTTGAATTTATATTAGTTCACACAAACACTCCATCCATGCTTTTGTTCCGGCCCTCCAGTCCAGTTTAAGAACCCATTGTGGCCCTCGAGTCAAAAAGTTTGCCCACCCCTGCTCTCAACCTAAGAATCTGTACTTTTTAAACTCCCCTGGCCATTCCCATGTACAGCACCATTTGAGAAACACCGCCCTAGGGAGAGAATATGGGATATGGGTTCCAAGAGATCTGAATTTCAGTCTTGTTTTCAGTCTCTTGAGCTGATTACTTTTCCATTCGGGGCCTTTCTCCCAGTGGTAAAGTGGGCACGATGTTACACGCAGTGTCTGCTGATGGTTGTGGAAGTCTCCTGGGCAATGGCAGGCATTATAGGGTAGGCCTTCGGAGAGCAGAGATGCCCAGGACAGAGGCTTCTCCTGCCACACATGGATGTGTGTGGTAGCAAGCCTGTGGCTCTCAGAAGGCCCTGCTCACCTCTCCACCCTCCAAGGCCTCTGGCCTCTTTTTTCTAGAAATATTGGAGCATCCTGGATGAGGCCCGTGTGCTCAGATTTCACTGCAAGTATGGTGGGGATTCAGGAGAGGTGGGTTAGAACACACACACACACACACACACACACACACACACACTTCCTCCTCCATGGCCCCATGATGGCCTCTGACCTCTCAGATAGGAGGTGCTGTGCTTGAACTTCTGGGGGAGGGGGAGGGGTGGACCTGCCATTTGTGCATCTATATTGTAAAACCCAGTAGAAACCTACCTTTTCCCCTGGGTGGCTGCTCTGCTGGCCCATGGGAAGCTCCAGAGAAATGTGTGACTGGAGGCTGGCTGGGCAGGGCTGGCTGCCAGGAGGATGAGGGGTAAAGGAATCGCCCACCTAGGCCTTGGACTATCGGAGTCCTGACCTCAGAGCTGTGGCGTGCACAGAGCATTTTCCATCTCAATCCTGTTTGATCCTGGGAAAGGCGCAGATGTATTAAACACCCATTTT